TGAAACCTGCTCTAGTTGCAGCACATGTTACATCCGTCCTTAAAGTATTAAATAAGTCAACAAAACCTGTTGGTGGTATATCTGAGTAAGTATCTTCAAAGAAGTATTTTTTACCATTCACAACAACAAAATCTTCTGGTGTCAAAAGAGCAAAACAGGCTTTAGTCGTCATCGTGTTTAAGGTCAGTTTACAATATCGTCCTTGAGGACTTTGTAAGTTTGTTGTTATAGAATTATATGACTCAGGGTTTTTAGTCGTAATAGTATAAACCACTATGTCTTCTGCCATTTTTATATATTTAAAAGTTTTTCTGAAAGTGGAGAAGAACTTCATCTAAACTTTCACATGGCGTTTCTTGAAGTTCTCTGTCTAAGAAGTTCAAATATTTTGTAAAGACATAGAACTTTCCTTTGTCTACACGAACAAACAAAACAGGGTCTTTCATATCGTTCAAAAGTGTGTAAAGTCCTTTACATGAAATAAAGTCTATATTGTTTTTCTTCAAACATCTTTCAAGAAGTTTTGACATTTTTACTTAGCAAGTAAATTTTAATGAAATGTTGTGGTCGTCAAATATTTTTATGACGTCTGGGAAACTATATTTTAAGTTCAACGTTTCACCTCCTTTCATAACGTATATCTTGTCAATGACATTATATGAAACACCACAGCAAGCAATGTCGGGTTCTATTTCTTTGATGTTTATATCGTCTGCCTCTGTCAAAAGTTTCAATAGTTCTTTCAAAACTTCATGAGGTGCGATGACATATGAGTTCACTTTTACAGGGTTGTGTTCGACCAAGTTTAACATTAGACCTAAAGCTTGACAAATCTTCTCCTGAGTTTTAAGTTTGTCTTTAAGTTGTTGGTAGTCGTTTCGAATATCTGCAACAGAACTTAAGTCTCTGCTAACTTCAGGATATGTTGGTTGTTCTTTTACAGGAACTATTGTTATACCATCTTCGTCTTCGTATGGTTTCCCCACTTCAACATCTCTTTCTTTGACATTGACAACAACACTTTGACTGTTTGTTTGAGTTGGTGAATTTAACTTCACATCTGCCACCGCCATTAAACCTTTTGAAACACTTACGCTTCTATTTTTCGGAAATGACATTTTACTTAGAATAAAAAGATGGACGTATTTGAGTATCTCTTCGAATTGAAGCAAAACAAAGTTTACACACACAAACAATACAAGTTCATTGACAGAGTAGTTCTTTACACAAACAATGGAAAATGTTATAGAATAGCAGTCTTTGCTGAACCAAAATATTTTCATAAAGCAAAGAAAGTTGGTATAACCGAGATGGTGAAAGTTCTTGAAGCAGACAAAAATATAACAACAAAACTGACCGATATTTCTAAAGGTAAGTTTATAATACAATATTATATCAAAACTGGCGTACTGTCAATATTTGACGGAGAGAAGTCAGTTCAAGAACAACTTACTGACCTGCTGCCAAAATCTGCTCGATGGATGCTGTCGTTATACCAATCTGAGGAGCTCCAGCAGGTTTCATCGAACGAATCTTCAAAAGAGCATCTTCCGTGAAAAGTGCTATTGGTTTTGTAAACTTCTTTGCTTTCAATTCATCTGGACCGTCTCTGTCACCAGTATATTGTATTTGAACTGTACCAACAGTTGAAATACCACCCATAAAGTCTTCTGAGTCAGCAAATGGAATGCCAAGCCAAAAGTTTGAACGGTCTCCATTTGTATATTGAGTTTTTTGAGCTCCTGCATGAGTCCATACTTTCACATATGGCATAATAGAACTTTGCATTTCAGGGTTAATGGTTGTTGTGAAGTTGTTGTTAAAGTTCATAGCATCTAATGTCAAGTTGTATGACCTCATATCCTCAACTGTAGAATATTCTTCTCTTGGATAGTATTTGCCATCTATGTTTATATGATATTTAATACCGGGGTTGTAGAAACAAGAATAGTCATTTATAGTTCGTCTGAACAGTACAAACATAGTATCTGCATGTTTCATTGCAGTTGTTAAGGCAATATCTGTTCTTGCACCTGGGTCAGCACTTTGGTTTCCAACTTCACCTGCAAAGTCTTTGACAGATATTTGGTGTATAGGGAACATAAGTGGAACTGCAATATATTTGGCAGCTAAAGCATTTGAAATATCTGGGTCCAACATATAGACTGCAAGTCTGCTTTCTATTCTCTTGCATTCAAACTTTTCGCATGTGAACTTAACTGGGTCCCAAGCAGTTCCAGCAGCATTGAAATAATAGTTTACTTCAGTGTTGAGGTTTGAGAAACCAAAGTCTAAGTCAACTTTGTCTTTGCAAAATTCGGCGAATGACGTTTGATTTGCTCCCTTTACGTCTGTAAGAGTGAATGGGTCTTGTGTTGGTGCAATGACTAAGTTATTTTTGCTTGGAGTAAGTTCGATAGAAATTTTTCCTGCCCAGTTTGGCAAGTATCTTAAAAGCCTGAAGATGAGGAAAGATGACAAAGGAACTCTAAGTTTCAATTTTACTTTGGTTACTGCTGCTGCAGTTTGTCCAGAAAGGTTAACATAAACTCCTGGAACGTTAGGGTCAAGTCTTCTTATTTTCTCAATAGTTGCATACTGGTCTGTTTGTTCTCTAGCTTGTGGTTGTACTGAGTTTCTTAAAGCGAACCATTCATAGTTTGCCCATGTTACTGTTTGAACTAAGTCAGAGTTAGAATATATCTTATATCCCATGAAAACTTCTGGAGCATATTGGTATCCGACATAGAAAATTCCATTGCAACCTTTCTTGTCAGACAACTTGGCAGAAGGTTTTATTTCAATGTCTTGTTCCACGTATAAGAAAGAGTTGTCAATAGAAATTATATGAAACCTGTCGCAAGCAATATCTACTGTTGTTGAAGAACCTTCTCCAAACTCACCTACGTTTCCATAAGAAACAGCAGTTGTATATTCGTAAGTTCCAGGAACTATTTCTGACCTTCTAATGGCATTGTCGCATTCGTTATACCATTCGGAAACATTTCCATTCATGGCATCCAAAACTGTTGGCGTTATATTCTGAGCGGCGTACATTTCATATGGGTAAAAATATAGAATAGTTGGATTTATATGTCATAATAGAACCACGTGGACCAAGCTTTACTTTCTTCCTGACTGAGTTTTTAACTCTTCTTTTTCTTTCATTGCCACTACTTTCACTAGATGAAGTTACTTCTTCACTACTTTCACTTTGTTCTACTCTTCTCTTCTTCTTTGGTGTCGCTTTTGGTAACTTGCCCTCTGCTTCAAGTTGTTGCATCTTTGCCTCATGTTCACCTAGTATGTTGTAAATTTCCCATGTCCTTTTTGCCTTTGGGCTCTGGTCGCCCATCTCAGGTAACCTATATCCTAGAAAGAGTTTGTCATAGTTTGTATTTGAGTCTTCGCGTATTGTTTGCATGACTCTTTCCTGAGTTTCCGGTTCAAGCTCTTCAAATATAGCTTGTCCATATGGAATAAGCTCGTTTCCAAATATATGTTTTTGTAGCCATTCTGGTTTTCTTTCCATGTTACCAACTATATCTTTTGTGAATGGGAAAGCTTTTACCCAATCTTTCAGTCTTGCGTCGTTTATTTCTGTAGTTGGTTTTATTTTGTCAAGGAACATGTTTTTCAATACTAACATTTCATTTGGTACTGTCCATTTGAGTTTTCTTAAATATTCATCCCTTCTCGGTTCATCGTATGCAAAGTAAGTTTTTATGACATTTTGTAAACTTTCGTTTGCAAGGTCATGTACAATAGGTTCTCTTCCTTCTCCCTCCCTAACTTTCTTTCTAAACTCTTCACCAAATATACCATCTCTATGGTTCTGTGTAGTTCTTTGAGATAAATGTTCTAGAACGTCAGGTGTTATATTTCCATCAGCCATGTTCATTTCATACTGGTCCAAAATATCTGCATGTTTCATATCTTTCAATGGCATTAAAGCCGCGCTTAAAATACCAGCTATATCTCGTTCACCATTCAATTCCATTGCGTCTACAACTTCTTGGAATTGTGGTTGTAAGTTTATGAACCACCTATCCGGGTTAGCTTTATGACCCCATCTCATTGTAGTTCCATCGTCTGCAGAAACAAAAGTAGGTTTGTTTCCATCTTGGTTAGGTTCTGAATGAACTTTAAACAATGTTTCATTTCTATATGTTTTCTTGAAATTTAACCTTTTATTTTCACCGAGTTCATCCGAAGATTGAACGTTAAATGCTCGTAAGTAAAAAGGGTTGTTGTATTTGTGTACATTTTCTTTCAGTACTTCCATTCTATGCTGAATATTTTCATCTGGTGTTGGAGTCTTTTGTATGTCGGCAAACATTTTTCGATATTCTTCTACTATGTCAGCCGAATTTTTTTTAGACTCTTGGAAATATTCCATATTCTCCGCATACTCTTGTTGAGGGTCAAGATTTTTCGGCTGTTCCAAATCTTCATCTAGTTCTGTGAAGTTAGTTTCCAAAGGAGGACTTGTTCGTTTCCTTCAGGCTCTTCTAGCTGTTGTTGCTGAACTATTTCTTCCATGTCTGGTTGTATCTGAACTAGTTCTTCCTGTGGAGTTTCTTGTACCTCATCTGCTGGCATTTCATATATTCCGAGACCGTTTTCAACAATTTCCCTATCTACGTCATCCGCATTCATAAGCTTTTGTTCTTTCGTTCCGTCTCTATTTTTTACGCGTTTCATGACGAAGTTGAATTGTCATTTAGCTCTGACATCAAATATCTCGGAGTAAATTCATCCATGTCATTTGGATGATATGCTATTAAATCATATCCCTTAGCGAGCTTGTATTTTCCAGGTTTGAGATTATATCCGTTTTGGTGCTGAGCCATAAAGCTAAATAGGTTCGGGTCAGTATTTCCATCCTTGAACTTTCCAATAGCTTCTTTATATCTGTCACTAAAGTCAACAGTATCTGGGAAACCCACTCTTCTTTAAGCATTTTTAAGAATTCTTGGTTTCCTTGTTCTCTACTTCTTTTATGTCCTTGCTCTGTTTGTGGTTGTTGTTGTGCAGGGTTTTGAACTGTTGGTTGCTGTGCTGGTTGTTGTGTTGGTTGTTGTGCTGGTTGTGGAGGTGGTTGTTGTGCTGGTTGTTTGTGTTGGTTTTGGTGCATGCCTGTGTCTGTGTCCATGTGACGATGTAAATGTTTCTAGGTAGTCCTGGTGCAGGTGCTTCTCTTGGAGGGTTTGGTGGTATATAAGTTCCACCAGCTGGCACATATGTTCCATCTGCAGCGTAATGTCCTACCTGACTTTTCGTTCTTAAGAAAGCATTTACTAGGTCTGTTTTGGTCTGTTGTAACTCTTTTTCTTGACTTTTCACAACAGTTGCTCTAACGGCGTCATAGGCACTTTGAACTGCCTGTCTCGTTGCTGCATCTGTTATTTTCGTCATATTTTGTGCTACTTCTTTTAACTCTTTGTCGAAACCTTCAGACTTCAGTTTCTTTCCAGATGAGAAGTCGTTCACTTGTTTCACCTTACTATGAAGAGCTTCGAAAGCGTTCTTAAAGTCAGCATTTGTTAAAGCTTCATTTGAACTATCTTCATCCGCTTGTATTTTTGTCCTTATTGACCCTATGAGTTGGGCTGCTTTAGCGTTGGCTTGGGCATCTAACCAGTCATTGTTGGCTTTTATATATTCTGCGCTTTTCATTGCCTTTTGCATAGCCGCGTCGTTATTTTTACTTTCTTGTGCTAAGTTTTCATACTGTACGGTTTGGTTTTGCAACTGTAAAAGTTTTTCTGCCTTTACATTTGCTTCAACTTCTTTTTTATACTCATCGCTATCCATATATGTCTTCAGGGCTTTTTGTTTTATCTCTTCATCTTTCAGTATTTTATATTGAGTAGTATGGTTTTTCAAATTTATGACATCTTGTTCCATTTTTGCTACTTCTGCTGCTTTTTCTGACACTTTTTTCGCATATTCCTCTGTACTTAGTTCTTTCAGTTGTTCTTCTTTCTTCTTTTTCTCTACGTTTAACTCATTGAGTTTCTTTGTGTGTCTGTCATATTCTAGTTTCTTTTCGTTTTCACTTATTTGCTTCTGTATGTCTATGTTTGACTTTTTGACATCTGTTATTTGATTTTTGAGTGAACTCAAATTCATTTGACTTTGAGGGTTATATGCTGTTCCGTCTGCAGCTCCACCATAGCCTGCCATTTTCGCTAAAAGTGCCGCTCTTAAACCTCCACTCTGTGCACCAATAACTCGGTTTAAAAGCATAGGATTGCTTGACATTTGTTGCAACATAGTGGGGTCATTCAGCATTTGTTGTTGCAACTGTTGTTGTGGTGTTAGTTTTACTATTGGATGTTTCAATGCTCTCTTCCTCTTACGTATATTCTTACGTAGCTTACGTGGCATTTTAAGTGAAGTTAAAAAGCGGCTTTTGACAGATGTTTATATGACACTTTTTGTTCAGCACAAAAAACTACTCGGTCAAAGTGTTGTCAGTTTTGTAAAATAACCGTCCTATCTCATTCTATAAGGGGAAAGGCTTCTCAAAGTATACTTCCTTGGAACGCCTGTAACTTTTCCTGTAGCGACGATAGACCCTTACTTGTCCGGACAAAGTTATACTATTTTGAGTGCTCTACAAAAAAGTCAACGGCGACGACTCTCAAAAACCGTTGTGTAAAAAGTTTTACCGTTGGACAAAAAAGTATGTATAGAAAACAAAAAACGTTTATAGTTCATTCAATATTTGAGATGGAACGGTTTGCCAACGGAGACTTTTCAATAAAATAAAAAAATAGAGGGGGTTACCGTTGACGAAAACGGTTTATTTTAAACTTTTCTATGAGTAGTCCGAAAAAAACAGTTCATTTTTGTCTAATGTACGCGTCTCGAACAGTGAAGCCCAATTCAATAGAATACTATCTCGAAAAACAAGAAGCTGACACTGCTATTCAGTCTTTAATACAGAACCAAGCTCAGGAGAACTCAAAAGACTCCCATTTCAAATCGACATCCAATTCGAAGCAATTAAAACTTGACTCGAATGTTTTAAAACCACAGCCCGCACGAACAAATACAGCTCTAAGAATAGACCAAAGAATACCGAACAAAGAGTTGAGGTCAAGATTGAAATTACAATCGGATGAGTATTTTTCCCTTAACAACCAGGGAAATACTCCATATAACCGTATCTACACAAATACCGTTAAAGAAACAATAACGGCATACACAAAACTCTGTCAAATGGTCCCCAACCAGGACCAATTGACGGATATTATATGTTCCTACCTTCCCATATTTGCTGAGTGTGTGGAAGGTAGGACATTGTTACAAGCTTGCTTACGTATGCCACCAAATCTCCGTCAACAATTTGCTCAAATTGTACATGAATTTAAAGCTTTTAACAACGGATACGATGGAGATGAAGTAGCAGATGAATTTGGGGAAGCAAAAACATTTTTCCCCTCATATAATACGCCTGCAACAGTATTTCCTACTAATGAATTTCACAACTATTGTGTCGTTCATTTAATTGTTGTGGATATGCCCACAGGTGAAGACATTCTCAGTGGTGACTTCATCGAAGTCTGTATCAATACAGAATTGGGAGAAGATGAGTTGCATAAATTCTCCTACGTCGAACATATATTCAAACCAGCACACCAACTCTTTATCGAAACTGAAATAACACTCACACAAAATATGTCCATCTCATTTAAATCCAAATCAGGACGTCCATACAGAATTTGGATGAACTACGTCCTCTTCCACGACGCCGACGATGACGAAGAAGAGGAAGAAGAGGAGGAGGAAGAAGAAGAACAAGAAGACGATATCCAGTTCATTTCCATCCGTAAAAAACATTAAAGCAAACATTTCCGAATAAAAACTTCATTTATACTAAACATCTTCAGGGCTAGAAGGGGCGCAGCCCCTGGAAGCCCCGATTCCTTTTTTTTTTTTTTTTTTAAAGGTAGTCTCACGAAAATACGTTATTTTCCCGATGCCTTGGAAGCAGCTTTGCAGGTTACCCGTAAGGTAACCAGTAGAAGTTTCTGAGCAAGGATGAAGAAGATTAAAGAGCCTTTTTATTGCAAACGCTATATTTGTAAGTGTCTTTGTAGAACTTCTCATAAATTCAAAGATTTCCAAAAACGAATTTTTCGATTTTGATATAATAAATGATATTTAAACAAATTATAGATGTGTTTGCAATTAAAAAAATCCGAGTTAACTACAATATCTTCAATTTTTGTCGTTCACTTTTTCATGTCATACTGATAGCAAGAATACTCACCCAATTTGGTTACACTTCATGATAGTTTGAAGTAAAAAAATGCCACAGTTTTTTTTATTTGATATCGTTATCTAAATTTTGTACAGAAATGAAATAAATTATAATATGAAACGTGTGTTATTATGCTTGTTGGGAAACAATCCAATACTTATGTCTGAATGAAATGATTATTTCTACGAGATTTTTCATATTCAGCTAATAATGCTATCAAAATCAAATAACAATAAAAAGTTATTTTGTACATAATGTAACTTAATCTTTAATACTATATAGAACTTCGAAATACGACTAAACGGTGCGAGTTACGCGATTAAATACCTTTTTTTCGATCGAAACTTGAAAGTGAGGATAACTCAATGGGTAGGGGTATGGGTTCGACTTTTTCTATTGGGCAACTATTTTTTCTTTTCTTTGTTTCAAGCATTTTTTTATGCGATTATGCATAATTATTTGATTTCCTATATATTCAATAATAAATTTGTTCCGAACTCTTAAAAATAAATAAATTTTTAGAATATTTAAATTTATAGCTCCCTACATTAATATAAAGTGTTCGAATAGTTCATATATAGTTTCTTTAAAATAATTTGTTTCATTTTAAATTGGTTTGGCACAATGCTTGACATAACATGCACAAAGCTATGCCATTTTAAAATATGTATATCAATCAAGCCGATTAAGTCCATCCTAAACGAAAATCATCGATACTCATGAATTTATGATAGTCGTTCTTGATATAATTGCGCGTTTTAAAAAATGCTTACTTTTGAACACAGAACTTATCTATCCATATTTATCAATGAAAGTTTATAAGATGCATTAATGACAAACTTACTTTATCAATTATAATCTTATCGTAAATTTCAAACTACAATACTGTGGGGCAAATATTAAATAACCACTATGTTGCGGATTTTATGTAAGTCTGCAAACTGTAAAATGTAATTAAACACAAATAAAAAAAAAATGTAAATTTTAATCGAGAAATTTAGCAATCTTGAAAGCCTTGATCGGCATCTTTTACAAGATGTCAGTAATGCATATTCAATAACTATGAAAATCTAGCCAAGCATGGATTTTTTTCGAAAAAAAATTGTATTAAATTTCATTTTTCATTCTTTATACAAGTTTTAACCTTTGGTGCAATTATATCCTATCGCAAATGCATTATTGACGTTATTACTTGGATACTTCTTCATAACGCTAAATCTTCAAATTAGTTATGTATTTGTTACTAATAGAAGTTGGAAAGGTATTAAAAAAGGAAATGTTAATAAATATACATGTTTAATTAAAAAACAAACAAGAATAAATTAAATAATTTTATTTCTTAGGAAAGTCTAAGTTTTGTAATAGATAAATTGCTTTTTGTGTCTCTTCTTCATCAATTTCTGGATGTTGATTCTCAGGTGGCGGACTAATTAAAACATCATGGGCAATATCAAACCATTGTTTTAGTTCGTTGGCAGAAGGAAAATGATCTTCTTGTATTGGCGTTATTAATGATTGAAAATCATCAGTTGATTCTGCATTTTGGGAATTTTCCAAATTTTCATTTGGAAAATTTGAATTTTGAGATATTGTTTAAGCACTCAGATCTCATTTTTAAAATATCTGCACCAAATTCTTACATCTGATAATTTTCATGTGTAACCAATGTTTCCCAATCCATTTGCCATACCCTACTAATCGCAAATTCATTCCCTTTAATTTTGTATTAAATTTAAATTCCAATCTTAATTTCTACATTATTTATGCTAACCCTTTAAATTTTGTTCTTATTTATTCACCCTCAGATACAAATTTATTTAGAATGTATTCCTCTGAGGTCTATATTTGTATTCGAAAATAAAATCTTTAAAACTCTCTAAGT